GTGTGTGACTGCCTTTCTTTTCAAAAAAGCAGCGCTCTTTTAGGGATGTCAGTAAGTAATAACCCTGCCTGTGGAGGGATATAGAATGTGGTATTTTGTAAAATACTTCCAAATTTCAGTTTATTAATAAAAGGTTTAGAATTTGGGTCTTTTTTTGCCTTTTTTTTTTTCCCCCTTTTTTGGTGGGGTTAGGGGGGGGAGGGCACTAAATCTGACCGTTTACTAGAAACGGTGATACGTGGCGTGGAACACTATTAAGGAGCTTATGTTATCTCTTAGGAACAGAGAATGCTGCGGTCAAAGGGAAATCAATTTCCGAGGGTGCTACAGTAAATTTGTCTTGTAACTGGAAACTTTCTAATTGCTACCCCAAGGGAGCAGTAAGCTGAAAACTAGGCAGATGGTTTCTTCCCCATCTCCTTTCTGCTTTGATTCCATCTAAATTATTTCTAGCATCCTGGCAACTTTGTGCATTAAAATTGTTTTGCAAATGTTTAACGCTACCATAGTTGTTCTCACTTGTATAGTAACTTAGCTCTTTAAAAGCTGGATGTTTTCCAGCCAACTTGTGGGGGGGGAGGGGATGTTTAAATCTATCCTCTTCAGATTGAGTCACCACTCCTAACGATAGTGTAAGGAATTAATATTAGGGAGGAATTGGTTTTGATTCCTTGTTACACAGCAGAAAGATTATATTGCTTTTTTTCCAACTAAAGGCTTAAGAAGAAGGCTTTTTTTTTCTGTTCCGTCACTTCATTGAGCCTTTCATTATTCACCTCATCTGAAAACAATTACAGTGTCAAAGATATATGCTAGTTTTTATGACTTATGGTCACATTTATGATCACAAGGTAAAATTCAGTAGGAGGGAAAAGCCTGGCATAAATAGGTCTTGTAGAAGGGAGGTGGTGTCCCATTTCTTTATAAGGTCTTTGGGAAGTACTAGGTGGGGATGAAGAATCTGTGAAGATCAGAGAAATTGCACATTGGCTTTCGTCATTCTGAAAGTTTGGCTGAGCCCTGGTGGTAATTCGTGAAACCTGAACAGAAGAACATAACAGGAAAAGAATCTCGATATTGCTACAAAGAACTTGCTGAAGCTGGAACTTGACCACAGTAAAGAGCTCAAAGGCCTGCCTTAAAAACTTGGTGTAGTTGAAGGCTAGGATGAGTTGGATACAATTGTGAGCTGTAGGTTTAATTTGGAACTTCTTGTAAAAAAAAATCTCAGTATCAAAGCTAAACTTTCTTAAAAAATTCAGGCATCTTACTTAGGGAAAAAGTTGGGCACAAAGAGTTCAGATCAGGTAGAAACATTCCATTTACTTCACCTTATTTTGCTTTAAAAGCATTTTTTTAATGTTGTCTATTTGAATTAGATACTTATACCGTTTTCTCCTCACCATCCCAGGTACACATGTTCAGATAATATACCAATTACTAATGGGCAAACTGTGTCTATTAGTAAGTCATCTAGAATACCTGCAACAAATTAGTTGCTAAATAAAACACTCTCATGCTAGTCACTAATTGTTAATTTTACAAATGTCTAAATACCACTCAGAATAATAATGAAGAAATTAACTACCAGCTGGAATATCAATCACCAAGTATTTTATTTGCATGATAATTTAAAAATAACAATAGCATTATCACTTCAAATGCCATGTGGTAAGAATAACATGACATGAAATATGTGTGGGCCAAAGTTGCTTTAATTTTTTAAATAAAGTTGTTGTTCAATGAGAAATTGCAAAATTTTCTGTTTTGTTCTTACTGAGACTTTTCCTTCTGTGTGCTTCTAAACTGAGAATTCCCCATGAATGACGGCTATTATTTTCAATAAGAATCAAATAAGATTATTATAAAGTAATTGAAAATCTTCAAAGTGGTAGAACCATGTTCATATTTTATCTGCGCAACAACATGTTGTAGAAATGCATGGTTGCCTTTGGTGGTAATTACTATTACATTACTCTCAGGTCTGTGAAACGATGTTGAAAATGTATAGAAATCTTTGTTAGCCATCAGAAGCACTTTTAAATATTAGGGTTATTAGCAAGCACTTGTTTTACTGTGGTATTTGGGAGTTGTAGTCATAGAGTAGGACGCAACTGCATTTTGCCTGCATAAACCTGAAGCCGAAGGATAGACCTTGCGTTAGCCAGTTTACAGCCTCTCTGTAGGTCCCAAATGTAAAAATTATGATCATTCCGATGACTAGTCCCTGATTCAGCAAAATAGGTAAACGTATGTTTACAGGCTAGCAGATGTATATTTGCTTTGATGATGGGAGCATCATCGTATTTTATTTCTAGATAACAACTTATGTGTCCGTTCTCAAGTTTTTTTAAAAAAAAAAAAAAAAGGAATCATGTCTAGCATTCAGATAGTGCTTTGAAGTAGCAATATAATATCTAAACTCTTGGCAGGGGAGAAGAACGTCCTTGCGTATGCATTTTCTCAACAGCCTAGCCATGAGTGTACCTATTTTATTTTTATTTAATACTTGTTTAGATGAAACCAAACAGGTATTAAACATAGATTTTTAAATTAAACTAAAGCAAGAGTTTGAAAAGCTTGATTTCTTTTTCACCTCCACAGCCATCTGAGTCCAATTTTTTTAATTTAAGGAAAGTACTCTTATTTGCTGTTCAGAGCAGTGACTTGGGAAGACAGATCTTCTAAACTGTATTCTCGGTTCCTGATACTCACATTCGGTATGTTACTTAGTTTTATGTTTATAAAGCACTCCTAAGAGCGTTTGACAAAAAGCAATGATTACATGTAGGAAGCGTTGGGCTTTTATTTTTATATAAGTTAATGCTCACTTGAAATTTTCATGATGCTGTTTCATGTAAAATACGAGATTGAGAACATTTCCTGTAATAAACTTAAAGCTGCAATAGAATAAGTGACTTTGACATGAGAATATGGGTTTTCTTCATCTGAGAAACAAAATATCTGTAGGTAGATTAAGAAGAGTTAAGTGTTTCCAGGAGTGCAATACTCAATTGCAATTGGAGGCGTGGGTTTAGGGATGCGACAAGGAAGGCTAAGGCCCAGTTGGAATTAAATCTGGCAAGGGATGTCAAGGACAACAAGAAGGCCTTCTTCAAATACATCAATAGCAAAAGGAAGACTAGGGAAAACGTGGGCCCGCTGCTGAATGGGGCGGGTGCCCTGGTGACAAAGGATACAGAGAAGGCAGAGTTATTGAATGCCTTCTTTGCTTCCGTCTTCACTGCTAAGGCCAGTCCTGAGGAATTCCAGACCTTGGAGACAAGAGAGGAAGGCTGGAGAAAGGAAGACTCTCTCTTGGTGGAGGAGGATCGGGTTAGAGATCTTTTGTCCAAACTTGACATCCATAAGTCCACAGGCCCTGACAGGATACACCCAGAAGTACTAAGGGAGCTGGTGGCTGTTATTGCTAGGCCCCTCTCCATCATCTTTGAAAAAACCTTGAGATC